CACCCACCCCACACACCCCACACACACCTAGGCCTGCCAATTAACAACATATATGAGGATCCAACATTCGTGAAACAAAGAATTAGAATGGATCCGGCTCTCAGACCAAGTGAGAAGTGAAGGCACCGGAAATATATTATTGACATGCGTTACTCAACTATAATACAAGAGATCCTATTTATATCTATACTCTACACAGTACACAATACACAATATATATATATATATTCCAATGTGGGTCACTCAACCTACTATATAGTATATACACAAACTATCTTGCACCTTCAACTCACAAAAGTATTTGCAGATTTATAGCTAATTCATGCAAGATTAAGAATTGCCGGTAATGACAAGAAAGAGGATAAGAAAGATCAATTACCAACTAGGATAATCACAGTGAACTGTGCCATTCAGCTGGGCCTGAGCAGCATTCCACTCATCAGAATTTTTGAAGGGTATGTGAGGTGCCGTATGATGAACCATTGTAAAAGTACTCATCTGATCGTTTGAAATCAAATAAAAAATTATTAGCACTGGAAGTGTTAACGAGCAAATCTTCAAGAATGACGTACCAAGAAGTAATCACAGGAGAGCAGAAATTGTCATTACCCAAAAATGATAACCCAACCACGGCATTAACCAGAACTTAATCCATCCAATAATCCCTGTTTTCCAGATTATCAATGGCCAGCCAATTGCCATAAAAGCAAAGACGCAACCCAAACTTATTTTCACCCGGTTAATTTCATTTGGTCTGAACTTCTTCAAATTGAAATGACAGAGCCACCTAAATCAAGATTTGATATAGTAGATATGAATCAGGAAATTATAAACAGCCATAGAAATTAGAAAATATGGCAATTTTCACAGCAGCATACCAGTGAGCTATAGACATCCAAGGTCGAAAGGGTCCATAACCAAATATAATTGCCTTCCTCAGAGCAGGGACCGAATCGAACTCCTCCTTCCAAACAGGCTGCCAAGCTGTATCTTCATGCAACCTGGAAATAGAGGGAAAAAATGTGAAATTTACAGTTTTCACATACTCCCTTTGTTTCAATTTATGTGACACACTTTTCTTATTAGTCCATTCCAAAAAAAATCACGCATTTCTATATTTGGAAACAATTTAACTTTAAACTTTTCGTGTTACCCATTTTACCCTTAATGAGAAATTATTATAGCCACACAAAAACTACGTTACAGAAATAAAGGAGTGAGTGGATGAATAATGGGTACAGAGTGCCAGAGTCTTAATATACTAAACAATTGCAAGGGAAGTTTTCATTGATAGACAAGATTTCTTAAAGTGGTTGTTTTTTAATTACCATTACTGGAAAGAACTGGCATACTACATTAGTCTACAAATTGGCAACTACTTTTATACCACTTTTAGACACGAAGGCAAAATTTGAA